AAGAATACCACTAAGCAGCAGAGATTAGCAATAAATGGATTAATAGATAAAAGAAGTTCCAATTTATAAATACAATCCGTAAACGATGAAAAAATTGGCATAGGAAATCCCCAATCGTTAAGCAACTTAATGACAGGAATTAATTTTTCACAGTTCACCGTGATATATTCTTCGTCTTCTACAGCAATGCATCCTCTTGGACAAAGGCTGCACTCCAATATTTTCATATGCAATAGCAAATCAAACGTAGGTAATGTTTTATTTAAAATTCTCCACCAAAAGCAATCTACACAAGGTGTAGATTAATTTTCTTCATCCATTTCCAATAATTAGTTTGATCATTTAGCTCCATGTTCACATCAGCTGCCATTCAAGAAATGGATTTACCAGAGAATTTATTACAAAATTCCAAACAATCTTCATATGTCTCATTGTAAATCTTTATTTTCAAAATGTTATCAACCAAACTACACCCAAAATACTTGTTCAATTCATTTATATTCCAGATCCCATTTTTGATAAACTTATCAATAGATGGAAACTCACCTTCCACAATAGCTACAAATGTTTGCCATTTTTCAATACTTCTATCCGAAATCCACACATCTTTAAAAGTGTTCTTTGAAGTCCCAGATGACTGCCTCCATCGTAACAATGGCTAAAGGTATTCATAACCATTAATGATAATCTTCCAAGTTGGCGAGCAGTTTTTCCTATTGATATTATGCCAAATATGTCCACCATACTTATCGAATAAGGATTATTGATAAAATTCCATGCAAATTTGGCTCTAAGAGGTCCAACATCAGTTACAGTAGAATGTGTACCTCTTCCACCTTGATCCAAAGGTTTGCAAAACTTCTTCCATGCCATATAATGAATACTACGAACATCACTTAGTTTTTTCCATAAGAAGTCTCTACACATCCTATCAATTTCTTTTAAGATACTTATTGGCACCAAAGAATGTGAAGTATAAAAAACTGGTATTGATAAAATCACAGATTTGATCAAAACCATTTTACCGACTAATGAAAAAAATTTGTTACCCCATCCATTTAGTTTGCCCGCAACTTTCTCTAGGATATGTAGAAAATCAGATGAAACAAGTATTCTCAAAGCCATTTTAACACCCAAAAACTTCAGCTCTTTAACTTCCCTAAACTTCAACAACTTTGAATTGTTTTTCTTCTTTGACCGAGAGACAGAACTACAGATTTTTGAAAGTTAACACTTTGCCCAGTCCACTTGCAATAATTATAAACAATCTTTCTAGTCTTCTTCAAATCCCAAGTCTTAGCTTCAGAGAAAATAATGATGTCATCGGCATAAAGTAAATGTGATATTTTGGGAGATGCCGCAACAACTTTAATGCCCAAAATTTTATATTTACTAAACCCATTGGTTCAAAGCTGAGAACATAAAAAAAACAAGCACAGGGACAGTGGAAATCATTGCTTAAAATCACTTTTGGCTTCAATCCACTTTGAATCTTTTCCATTAACAAGAATAGAAAACTAAGGATTGACAACACATTCCATCAGTAGATTAGAAAAATGACTCGGAAAACCAAAATATTCCAATACTTGTTTCAAAGTTTGCCAAGCCATACTATCGTAAGCTTGTTCCATATCAATTTTGATTGCTACCAATCCCTTTTTTTTTTTTTAAAAAAAATCTAAATTTATTGAATACTTCTTGCACAAGTAGGATATGGTCAGACAAGCTTCTACCTTTTAAAAAAACAGCTTGATTCTCGAAAATAAGTTTTGAAAAACTTTAAGCATTCTATTTAATAAAACCTTTGCTATAACTTTATAAATTGATAAACTAAACTAATCGGACGGAAGTTAGAGGGATCTACCGGATTAACAATTTTTTGAATAAGAATTACCATCATCTCTTTCCACGTCTCTTTCCACTTAGGGCACATGATACCTGTTGAAAAGAATTGAGATATAGCCAACCACAAGTACTTACCAATGATTTTCCAATAAGCTTTGAAAATGGAATAAGGAATTCCATCCAACCCAAGGGAGATGTTCCTCCCAAGGCCTTCAATCACATTTTCAACTTCCTGAAATGTAAAATCCATGTTTAGGAAGTTACAATCTTCTTGATTTAACATGTACAACTATTTGGGCCAATTATTATGATCACAAGATCAGCTCCTCCATTTATTGCAAAAGAACTCAAACATGGCATTATTTATCCCTTCTTGATCCTCCAACATGACGCCATTTGAATCCTTCACCTGCTTGATGAAAATGCCATTCCTCCTACCAATAAGTCTTGATGCTTTGATCTGCTCTAAAAAAATAATGCCCGCAATGATCTTCAAAATTTCTTGTTGAGATTTTGCATTGGCTCACAATCATTAACTATGTTCCAAGAGTTACGTACAATAGCCATAGAGGCAGGATAAGAAAATCATACGTCTTCAAATCTTATCAATCTGCTTTTACGTAAAGATTTATCAAAAATTTTAAGAATAATTAGGCAGTGATCTGATGCTACCCTTGCCAAATGTTTATAAGCCGTGTGCTGAATCAACTCCAAAGCTTTAGAGTTCAAAAGACATCTATCAAGTTTTTTCCCAAATACGAGCACTTCCATTCTTATTATTACACCAAGTGTAATTTGGGCCAATAACCCCTACCTCATGAAAATCAAATTCATTCATGAATGAGAGATCATCTCTTGAGGGCCGAGAGAAAAATTGAAATTTTTTCCCTCCTCTTTTATCTCCCTGAGATAAAATACAAATTGATGGTGAAGATTGATATGTCTTTAGACTATTATTGTCTTTTTGAGGTTGAGACTTTGATCGTGTCTAAATAGTAGAAGTTCAGTTGGGGACTATATAGAGTTTGAGATTCACTTGAAGCCTTCTTGAAAATTTTGTTTATGAAAGATTGTCTTTATTTTTATGACAAAATAATGAAATTTAGAAGATCACAAAAAAATATATCACAAAACTTTAAATAACATCACTAAAACTTGTCTCACTCAAAATTATTGTTATCATCTAAATTTCATTCTAACAAGTATAGTTACTCAAAATTAATTTAGATATAATTTTTAACTTAGATTATTGGTAATGCCAAAATTAAACTTAGACTACATTTAGTTTTTTAATCCATTAATAAATTTTAACTTGACAAAAAAAATCTAACAAAAATAATTAATCTTTAAATAATTCTCAAATTATATAATACTGAAATAATTAGGAGCCCTAAACTAAGCATTAGTGGTTCTTATTCATACAAAACACAAATTATGTTCAATTTAACATAATCTGTCAATTCATCTAAAAAATATTTTTGTTTTGTAACTAACTTAAAGTTCCAATTTATATAGTAACAAAAAAAAATATTGACAAGCAAAATTATTAATGTATTACTTAAATAATAAATTAATAACAAATTAAATTAAATAAAAAACAATTTTAAAATTCAAAAATTATCAACCACTTATTCTATTTAAATATTTAAATACAGAAATATACAAAAAACATATATATTTTTAATAATATCATATTTTTTCTATCTTTCAATCTCCGCCCACAGAGTTGGAAACTAATCCATTAATTCTGTCAAGCACACAACAACAAGACATGGAATAATTGACAGTCCAGGGCTTTTCTAGAAAGCTGGAGATGGCATAATTCGTAATTTCGTTGAAGACTTTCCGTAGTTTCTAGGTTCGACTATTTATTTCTCATAGCAGAAATTTAAGAATTTTAGTTATTAGATATCAGTAAATTCTTATGCTCTTATAGACATAATATTTAGATTTTTTTATGTTAATTTAAATAATAAAAAATATTAATATTATTATTTTCAAACAAAATACCTTTTCTCTGTATATTTTTTATGTTATTTAAATATTAAAATATTATATAGAAATATAAAAATTCTTATGTTAGATATATATGTGTTTTGATGTGATTTAGATATAGGATATTATATGAGTAAAATATATTAGAATTTAAGTATAAGACAAGCACATAAGTATTTAGGTTTCATTTCCGATAATTTTTTATTGCTTCTTAAAGTAGAAAAACTCGTCCTAAATGAAGCCTAAGTAATTTGTATGTAAATCTCTTATAAAGAATTAATTTTGAAAAACAACTTGTTTTTCTCAGTTATAATAATTTTTAATAATAAAATTTAAACTTAACTTTAAATATTTAAAAAATAAAGAAAATAACATCTATTATATTTAATATCAAATATAAGGTAAAAGCTATTTTTTACGATGAGGCTCTCTTAATTTTATAATTTATTATAAAACCAAACACAAAAAAACACACACATATATATAATCATATTTATTTGATTTTTTCTTAGTTATAATATCGATTAGGGTGTAGCATCAATCATATATTTTGTGTGGGTTTTTATTTTTTATTTTTTTGGGAATACTTTCATGTAGCCAGCAAAATTTTATAAGTAAAAGATAATGAGAAATAATTTACGGACGTTTGATTAATAACAATTACTCTGCGAGTTTTGATACTCATAATTTTATGAATATTTTATAAATTTTTTCTCTACTCTTGTCTTTATTTTATCACAAAATTTTAGGTCATTCTTTTACTATGTCTATTTTAGGAGAAATTATTCTATGCAGTATCTAGATTGGAAGAACCGTTCAGATTATGAATGTACATATTATGTGTATACTAATTTGATATATACTATGTACAAATATATATACGATGTATACATTCATATATCAAAACGATTCTTTCAGACTGTGTATAATAATTTCTTCAATTTCAGACTGATTAGCAACGTAGAACAATCTTCATGAAAAAATAATATAAATCCACCAAACAGAGCAGGACTGTGATTTAAGATTTTGCTATGTTTTTAATACCTGGCGGAAGCGGAAGATCAGAAAGAATATGAAATTGAGAGAATATTTTTTAAAAAGAAACAATTCTAAAAAAAAAAATATTCATTGTTTTATTTATTTTCCTCCGTCATTTTCGGCGGACTAGAAACCCTGGGATTGTAAAACCAGAGACGCTCCCGCTTTCTCAAACTCAAGATAGCGCACGGGTCTCTCTTATCCCCTCCCTTCTTCCCCACCTTGGAAAAATTCCTTTGTTGCTCATCTTTAAACTCTGCTTCTAACCAAGGAGTTGAGTTTGGACGCTATACTACACATACGACTCTCTGCTGGTTTCCGATTCCCAAATCCATGGGCGAGATGGGAGTGCCTGATCAGAAGATTGTCGAGGGACCTTCCGGCTACGTTCTTGAAGATGTTCCCCATCTCACGGATTACATTCCCGATCTACCTGTGAGTTCTATATGACTCTTTAATTCCAAGGTGTTTTAAAAATGCTGAAGTAATTATCTTCGTTTTTTTTTTTTACATTATGGTTGATTGATTCAGCTAAAACCCGTATTTGTTTTTTTTTTTTTTTTTTTTTTTTTTTTACTTTGAGCGAATTCAATATGGGTCAGGCTACAAAGGCGAGTTGGGGATCGATTGTTTACTGAATAGATTAATTGCCGTTAGTCCTAGGCAGGTTGCAGTAGCTGCAATTTCATTCCAGTTAATTAGCACCCACATTAATGTTAAGTTCTAATCATCCTATTTACACCCTAATTAAGCAAAATGTTTAAATCTTAACCTTTAATTAATTTCTAGCTTTTTGTCTAAATTAGTAATATTATAAATTAATATAAATCAATTAGACTATTCTATATTTAATTATTCTAATTAAGCTCTAATTAACTAGATAAATCTAAAGGAGCTTATCTTCCAAATTAATGTTTATATTTTAATTTTTTAGGCTAACAGTACATTTTTTATATTTAATTAGCTTAAATAAAGTAAAAGTATTGCATAATTAGTATTAAACATTAAATAATAAAATTAAACTCTTCAATTATCTTAATTAAATGTTAGTTAAATTTCCTAATGACTCAAATATCCTCCTAAATTAATCCAATTTTCTTAAATCCTCTAATTTTTTTTATATGCAACCATATATTTTTAAGGATTTTTCTCCATTTAATGATTTTGGCATCGAAATAGCTTCTAGGAATTAGAAACCTCAAGATTTATTAAATCCACATTTGCAGAATTTACTAATGCCATATTTACTTATTCTTTTTGCTCATAATTTTGAAGTAGACATTTATCTTGTCGCTGTATTTTCCTGTTTATTCACCGGTCATTTGCAGGTAAAGTTTCTGCTCATACATTCTCAGATCTATTGTTTGCTTTTGCAGACTTTCCCAAATCCGCTCCAAGATAATCCGGCATATTCAGTGGTGAAGTAAGTCCTTTTTCCTTGCATACATAAGGTTAAGACCTCTGATTTGAGAAACTGCTCCATATTTTATTTAATTAATTATGCTTTCTTTGAACCAATATAAGTTACTGCTTTAATTACTATTGATCATTTTTTCCTTTTGTTTCCAGACAATATTTTGTTAATCAGGATGATACTGTTCCTCAAAAGGTTTGTTCCCTAACATTGATTAATATTTTCATTATTTATTGTAAAGATTGGATTAAATACCAGACTTTTTGTGTTTTTCACTCGCTGAAGTTGTGTTTTCCATGCATATGTTGACCTTAATATATATGTCACATATTTGATATTTGAGTGAGCCATGGTTTTTGTAGGTTAAACCAAATCTTACTTCTAAGGAGTTCCATGTCAACACCCTTTGGTGTGATACCATGCTTGGCGTCACCACCCATATCAAAGAAAATAAAATCTTCATGCACAAGGAAAGAGAACTTATACGTAGTACACGCATGATTGTACCAAAGTTATTAACTCAATTAGACCTCATTCCAATATTGGGAGGTTCCTCATATATAGATGATGGGTTCAATTACTGCACAACACTTTTCTTTGAACTTCATGGTATGCTTTCTCTAAATATCATATGTAGATCATCCTTACTCTTTTTATATTTCTCCATCAGACCTCTCAACAAAGATATAGCTTCCATTGTAAACCTATTCGACATGAATCTAAACTGGCTTTGAGAAACATTAGTATCACATCTTAACCTATACTCAATTACCCTCTTCCATAATTTTAATTTATGACATATTAATTTAATTCTTCTATAATTTGCACACTCTTGTGCATAGCATCACATTTATTCTTAAAAAATAGGAATCAACGCACTCTTTTTTCATTTATCTGACATCTTTTTAGTCTTCAAAATAATATTAAAGTGTTTAGTAAGCCAAGAAATTTTTTGATGTCTTAAGTATTTCCACAGTTTTATTAGAATATTATTGGGTCCTAATGCTTTTCCAACTTTGGTTTTCTTTAAAGCCCCTCCAACTTCATACCCTTAATATAAGAAAAAAATGATATCTCAAAAGTCTCAACAATAATCAATTGTTCTACTCTTAAAAGGTGCCATCCATTCACCTTCCACTCCACTTTGTCAAGGGTAACAAATTCAACTCTAACTGAAGCTTACATGCACTACAGGCACACACGTTATTACTGGCGAATGAAATCCGTCGATAACATAAAAAGTTCTACGGAAAAAGGATGTTTTCGTCGAATTTTCGTCAAATTTCCATACGACGATAATTCGTGCATCGGTAAAAAACTTTCGACGTAAATATTACGCCGGAAAAGATGACTGAGGCGGCGAACGTCGGCAAACTTAGTGGAAGTCCATTGGGTGATGGGTCGGTCTCGGCAGCGGTGGCGTTCGACTAAGGCGACGGAGGCGAGCTGAGCGAACGGAAACGGGGAGGATTGAAATGATAAGGCAGACAGGCTCGAGAGAGAAATAGGGTTTTGACCGGTAGCTTTTTTGGCGGATAGGACACCAGAGCCTTTTCCGTTGAACAATTCAACGGTAAGTATTCGTTGTGTTTAAATACACCGGCGTAATATCCGTCGGTGAATACGCCGGCAAGTACCAGCGGAAAATACGCCGCATTATAATAAGGGTTTTACAGATTACAACGTCTTTAACGGCGGATAATGCGTCGGAGATTTACCGACGTAATATACACCGGAAATACCGCCATTATGTTACCGTCGAATAAATTGTCGGTTCGAACACCGTAATTTCTGACGTATCTTTTTACGCCGGAAGCTCCTATGATAATCAATTGTTTTCCTGTAGTGATGGAGCTATTGCCGCCTAGTGTATCCATATATTTACATTAAAAAAATCTTGTGCTAATAAGGACGTGACAAAGTGTTGTAATACAAGCAAGGAGGCCCATGACTAGATCAATGACTAAGGTTCAAATGCATGTTAATTTATATTAAATTATTTTATTTATTTTTCTTTAGAATTTCTAGAGTTGGTTGTGTGAGTTTGGAGGTGGTATTTTGAATGTAAAAATCTCTTTTGGAAATATAGCAACAAACCCAAATTAAAGCTTCAAGATTAGTAATTAAATATTTAATTGAATCTTTCAAATTTGAGTGTTATTATTAGATTTCATAGAAGGACAGATCTTGAGGAGCTAGCCAATATAGCTTTTGTATGAATTTCAAGGGAGGGAATGTTGGTATATTTCCTTATATATTTTTACTCTATTTTTATAACACTTTATATATTATTTATACCTATAATTTAATGAAAAAATAGGTATGATCTCGTATAAAGTTTTATCTAAAAGATTTTGGTGCGCTTCTAGCTTTTGAATTCATTTGTTAATTAACCATAATTAAAGTTTGATACCCTAACATATCCCTTTGAACTTGTTCTCCCACATCCTTTCCATCTTCCTTAGACCTCAAACCCCCCTAGCTTCTTCAAAATTTGAGCCATATTCCTCCCATCAAAATTCAACTGTTACTGTCCACCCATTGTGGCTTGTCATACAAAAAAATTTATAACATTCTAAATACACTTCTAATTAACCTAAAATGACTAGCAATAGTTAGCTCACATTATAACTTTGGATATTGAGTTACCAATGCTTCTCTACCTAAGAAAACCTAACCATGCATTTCATAAAGTTTCATCCAAAAATTTTTCTTAAAATCTTAAACTAGTCACTATCTTCCTTAGCCTTCTATCAATCCTAAACAATCCACCTTCACTCCAACAACCATTTGAACACTCTTAACAACCACCCCATCGCAAAGTACATTTTGGTAATGTGATTATGCCTATAATGTACCTCTGAACCACAATAACTTGTTGAAGGAAAAAGCATTGACGTGTCCTAATGGTTAGGTATTTGAGTTGTGACCCATATGATTCAATCAATACATATGAAATCCTTTGTCATCCAAGTACTGTTTAAAATTGGCCTTTTTTGCAAGACTTCTTATAAGGTCTACCTGATTTTTATGGACTCTAGGAGTGTTTATAAGGATCCTCCAATTAAGTTAGATTGATTATCTCCATTGATTAAGCAGACTAGAGTCTATGACAACCTGGGACGTTGAAATTATAGGATCTTGATCAGATTTGTGGTGTATCTTTCTATCCCTATTCCAAAGTGTAAAAAAAGTGTGGTAGACCCTATATTTCTAGCTTTTAATAATTTTTTTTTTCTCTAAATTAACATATGTAATTAACCATGGGGCCTTAGGACCACATGAAGCCTTGAACCAAGAATATGAAGTCCTCTATGAAGTGGAAACCTATGGGCTTTGCTTTATTTAACATCTAATCCTCCTAAAAAATCAACTAGGATACAAACCTATGTGTATATATAGAGCTGGGTAAGGATCTTTCAGGGATCACTAAATAATGTGTATGTCCAGTGAAATGGTGGATTACATTTTTTGACTTATATATTCTTCCTCATTTCTGCAGATTGTGGTTCAGAAAACCAGCCCTAGAGGTACACATTTTCGTCGTGCTGGGCCTCGCCAGAGGGTGAAATTTCTTGTTTATTTCCTACAGTTTTTTATGATGCTACCCAATTACTTGAGTTAACTGTTGTGTGTTTCTGTTCTAATCAGGTATATTTTGAATCTGAAGATGTGCATGCATGCATTGTGACTTGTGGGGGTCTTTGCCCTGGGCTTAACACTGTGATTAGGGAAATAGTTTGTGGTTTGTCCCACATGTACGGTGTGAATAAAATACTAGGGATAGAGGTATATTTCTTTCTATTGATTTTATTATAAACTGTTGGCCAGTTTTCTTCTTAGAGTTATGTATTATTGCATATTTCCTCCATCTCATTTTACTTTTATTTTAAAAATTCTTCTGCTTTATCTACATGTTTACTCTGATGTAGAACCTATTATTTGCGAGTATACCTGGCAGCTAAATCTATTTAGTTAAATGTACTTGAACATCATAGTTTGTCTTTTGATCAACAAGCATACAAACTTAAATCCAAGTACCACAGTATAGTTTTTCTATTAGCGGCATGAGATCCAAAGCCAATATATTAAATGCTGTATTTAATTTTTTTTTTTTCAGTATGAAATAGCTACTTCTTTTGAGGGAAAAAATGTAACCCATCACGAAAGTGCAAAAATTAAGCCAAGATGAATATGAAGAAGAATGGAGTGATGCTCAACTTATTAAAAAGATGCTAAATTCTTAGATCCCTATGATCCCTTGAACTTTTATACACTCTGTTACCGCAAACATAAGCTCCGAAATTTATCTTAATTTGATCATTGCTCACTTTTAAGACCCGCTTAATGCTTTAAACAATATAAAAAAATTCACATTGCTTTGAAAAAATTGTCTTGCTTTTCTTCATGTGTGAGCCATTTCCTTTTCCTTAAAAAAAAAGTCTGAGGTTCTATTATAAAACTAGGAAAAATGAGACTTTCTGACTTTATGCATAATCATGTTGGTGCACGTGCTTAAATTCATGTTTCTATTCGGATGTTTTTTTTCTCCATCTTTAATTCTGAATAAAAAGAATTGTGCTGCAGCCCTTTTTATGGATTGCTTGTAGATTTTTGCATTGGTGGATTGCTGTATAGAAAGACTTACTTGGCCTTGTGGTGGAAATTTGAAAGTTATATTCATCGAAAGCACAAAAACTAATGGTCTATATGAGTTATCATTGCATTTTATATTCTTTTAACTTATTCTATGAACTCCAATATGAGCAAGATTTATTTCCGGGTATTTTGAATAGTCCATAGGTCTAGCTTATAATTGTTTTATTGAAACTCAGCCCATTAAATTCCAATCAATTTATCGAATTCAAAATCTTTACTACAAGAAAATTTGAAATTTTAGTAACCATCAATTAGTCCATAGGCTCATTCCCCCACTAGATGTCGTACGCATTGAAAGTTTAGTAACCATCTATTAAAATTAGAAGATATAAAATAATTGGGAGCAATAATCACAAAAAGAAAATGTTAATAAATTTATTAAAATTAAATATAAACAAATGCATTCATAAGCTAAATTAAATGTGAAAATAAATATTAAATATTTTCCTTTATCCGAATCACTGTTAATATTGCTGATAACTTACTCATTATCTACAACATTCTTTGTATCCTTATCGACAAATTCATCAATCTCTTTGTGATCACCCTCAACATCATTTAAGTTTGTTATTGGTTGATTATCAGTTTTATGTTGAATGAGTTTTGGCATCTTTATTTTGGTGGGCAAACTCTATTACATGTTTATAATCAATTCTACTTTCCGCTTTGTCCTGATGACTGCTGATCAATCCACTGTATCTTCTATTCTTCCATGATTCTTTGTAAATTATATTTGAACCCCATGTTGTTCAGAAACAAAATGATCAGATTGCACATATCTTCTACTTCATTTTATCTTAATAATATCATACAACTTGTGCATGCTTTAACATCTAATGGATGACATAATATACTTGGGTCATCTTTTCTCTCATGATATCATCTCATATGCTCAATAGAACTCATAGATATAATTAATATTTTTAATCGTAGGATAAGTGGTGTTGGATCCGAATTTGTTCAATGGATGATACCAGACTCTACTGGTATATTTTTTTGGTAAGATAAGGGGAACTTGTTAGTGAAAATAAGTGAGAAGAGAGTAAGAAGGAGAGTGGAGGAGAATAGGCCAAGAAAGACTTTACTATCTCAATCAAGAATACCAAAAAAGGTTTATAACTATTTGAAAAGTCAAGATTCAGATCCCTTTATTGTTCCTTATCACCTAGTATTTTCAGGGATTTGAGAGCTATGGAAAATGTTACATGAAAAAGAATAAAATATGAGCTCCAAATAGATGTCCATACAACACTTCACACTATTCTGGGGCATGTGGCACCTCTACATTGGCCCTTAGAAAGGTGAAATTAGAGATCTGATGCCTAGTCTATAATAGAGCGAGCTTAAGAGAAAGCGAGTAGGTGTCTGGCAAGTTTTGAGGATGGATGCATAACTGGACGGTTTTCTTGTGGTGTTGGCGGATGATGTAAGAGACTCGATGTCACCCTGCTGATGAAGGTGAGCTGAAGTGTGAGCGGGGATGGCTAGTTCTCGAGCCTGGGATGAGTTGTATAGCCGAAATGACTGAGGGATTGCCGAGGTAGGTTCCCTCCTTAGGTGAGTTTGGTGAGCTCGGAGGGGTTACAAGGGTGAGGAATTGATCTAGGTGAGTGATAGTCAACCTTCCTAGTTGAAGGGCCTTATGGCCGGCTATCATAGGATGAGTTCTTTCAATGGATGTGAGCAAGTGTCATCCTCTCTTTGATAAATTCCTCTGGCAGCCACAAGTGAGTTCGTTGAGGCATCAACTCTTAGGAAGGAATATTTTCTCATGATTTGGTTGATATCCATAAAAATACTTTTGAAGGCAACCAAGGGTATATAAGTGGTAAATAAAATAACCCCTTAAATGAAATATCTTTTGTTTATGTTGTTTTTTATTTTGTGGTTTGTATCTAGGTACTCCGTAGTACTTTCTTTGATCTTGGTCACATCATCATTGTAATAAAGAGTACATCCATTAGTACAACAATCAAGCTTTTATGCATTCAAATGTAACTTGGATACTAGTTTTTTGGTCCTTGCAGTTCAATAAGCTGATTATCTTTTGTATTGGTCTTCTTTAATTGCCCAAGAAACTGATTGAAACATTCTCTTAGCATTTGAATCTATTTAATATTAAGTATTCTATATGTGACAGATAGTTCAAAGTGATTGGTGCATTCAATAGAATGTTTATTGAACAACATAACTAATTGTAAAATTGTTGAGCCTTGCTATTAGGGGTCTCTTTAATAAGTTCTACAAATTGAGGTCTAACATTATTGAATATCAATTTTTCGTATCTTTCTTATTGTTCTTCATTTGGTGGTGCATTATTAGTTTAAGATTTGCAATGAGTGGCTCACACTCTCTATGTGGTGTCTAAGTAATAATCACATTGAAATAACTTTTGATACAAATCAATCTTGACTTCATATATTGTAATATACTTAATTTTTGTACTTAGAAATCCTATATTCCTATAACACATCAATTCTTTATCCATTATGTGGGGTCAGTTATATATATATATATATATATATATATATAGGAACGTCGTCGAAGGAGGCGAAGAAAGGTTTTAGCGACTCGTTCAAAACCATATCGCGTCCAATTACAACAAAGAATGTGGAAGAGAAGAAAGAGTAGCGAATTGTTTATGAATTAATTTATGTAATTTAATATATATAAATTAAAAAAATAATTAATAATTAATAATATAAATAATAATTAGATAATTAATAGTCAAGATAATAATAGTAGTTTTATAATTATTTAAGTTATTATATTATATAAAAGTAAGATATTAAGCTAGTTAATATCCCTATGTGGGCCTCCGAAAATTCGGCCCGGCCTCCCGCCGTGCTGGTTGTTTGCTTTTTGTTTGGCGAGGGAGTTTTAACGAACTAAGTTCCGGAGTAAATTTTGGAAGGCAGATGGGTTTGTAGATAAGACACTACCCAGAGATTTTGCCCTCATTTTGCGAGGACTTATGATATGAGTTCTGGTTTCCTATAGGCGCAAGCCCCTATAGTTAATTACCCTCCCGATAACAAGAGAGACTTTCGATTAAGGCTAGTCGTCAATCAGATACGTAGATAATACGTGTTATCTGGCATATAGTAGCAGCATAGGTTTGGGATGTTGGAAAATGGTTGGGAATTGAAAAGTTTGATATTTAAAATAGAAATTTCACATCTTGCACTTAGAGCGGATGTGGGGGAATGGATGATGGGCTCGATCAAGTCCCAGGTTCCGTCGTCCAGGGCCATCATGGTCCCTGGTCTACTTAGTCAGAGGAGGTAGTCGACCCAACCTGACAGAAGGATCCTTGTCGGCAGTCATGGGTTGCTTCATCCAAGGGGATCTTGTAGACCTAGGCTGAATATTTGTCTAAGGGGAAAAATTTGAATCCACCTTAGCTAATAGAGGGCTTTGTGCTCTATCGTTCATATCTTATTGATTCATATCTCAAGAATTTGATGCCAATAAGGAGCATATTGGCTCTGGCCATAACCGGTATTTCGTGGTGCCATTTGGCGGCAAAACCACTCGGTTCAGAGGGTCCCGGGTCATAACCATTTATCCTGCGGTGCCATTTGGCGGCGAAACTGCCGGTTAGAGGACACGTACCACGTCCTTACTGGCAGGAGATTGTTTGAGAATGGATCATAGTGATATTTTCGACTACGCATTTGGCTATTTGTGAGCTGAAGTAGTATTTGAATTTGTCCTCCCCGACAAACTGTTGCGGAGGGTGGATGGATTTTGCTTTATGTGTTTGATGGATTGATTTAATTTTAAATATTTTTGGATTTTGATGATTTTTTGGAAATTTGGATTTTCAGGTATTTGGAGTGGTATTTTGAAATACTTGGAATGGACCCCTCCGGTTGATATTAGCATTCAAAACGGCCATCATCGGGGTGAAAGAGGATCATTTACATTTATGAATTGAACCCTGTCGACTCTATTGAGCTGTAGATAGAGGATCCGGTTTTGTAGGCTTTATGCCTTTGTTAGTGAATTCTCTTGATTATAGACATTGAATGCCTAATATGAATGTATAAAATAAATATCTCAGTCAACCTCGCGACCGGATATTTATTTAAGTGTTCGAGCCTTGTCAACTCCCGCTTGCTTGCACA